CAAGATACCCCTGGATGGAAGAGGACGAACAACTCTGCAAATCTGACTTCTGCCACTTAAGTCTTAGTATTCTACCCTTTTGTAGGCAGTACATGAATGGAATAGTTTCTCATCTCTAAAAGACAAAGACATTTATATAAGGATTAGACTTGTAGAATGCTTCCTAGTTATTCTGAAAACCATATCAGCCATCTTGACTGTCAATCTGGACAGGTCTGTTATTCATGAAAAGAGAAGTATTCCAATACCTTAGTGAATCATGTTGCAGTTACAGATAATGGACATGATGTTCTTTCCTTAAGTATCCATTCTCTGAAATGAATCAGGAAGATTCCTTAACAACACTCATCCTAAAAATCACACTTGATTTTCTGCATTCACTAATGTAGGAGTGAGAGTAGGAAAATACATCATTGGAAAAAACCTGATGTAATACATTGACAGTGCATGGGGATGCTTACAATTACTAGTCAGTTGTTATAAGAACTTTGGATGACAGAATCATATGCAAGGTCAGAATTCACCATGGGTGCCAATAAATGGTGCCAAAGAAACAAATATTCAATTTTTGTTTTCCATCAAGGTCACTGTCTTCTGTTAACTTTCTTCCGTGAAGATACCTTGCACCTGGCAGTATATTTCAGCACCTCGAGTCTATTAGTGACTGCTCTGGCATCATGAATTTGTCCTGAATCCAAGATAATGATTTTATACTTACTTCAAATTTTCTCTCTGTACCAATCCCAATCAGAAAAAAAAACCATCCAGAAAGAGAATAAAAGAATGAACCTTTTCCTTCTCTAAAGCAATATTATTGCTACCAAGATTCTGACAAGAAATACAGTAAAAGACGCATGTAAAATCAAATGGGAAATGACTGAAAGCAAGAATAAAAAAAACTATCCACGTGCAAAACATAAGAATTGTCAGGGTAAAATCGGAATGTTTTGAGGACCAGCATCCTTTAGAAATGTTAGATATTTTAGACTAGGTCATGCTTTGCTTGTTCCCTATTCTCCAAGGTTAGAAATGAGGACAATGGGATATAAATACCCTGAGGTGAAGCAGCAAGGAGAGTGGAAGAGGGCAACTGTTAACAAAGTGGCAGCAGGTGGGAAGTAACTGACCTGAAAAGGCACCTCTCACATTTTCTAGGGCTGGCAATGTTTGCGTCCTGTCTGGTGCCATCCATCTGTGACCCATGGGACCGCAGGGAGAGAAGGCAGCAGCTGAGCTCTGCAGTCAGAGACACGGCTGCTGGTCTGGACTACAGACATTCCCAATCAGTGTTCCAGCTGGCAGGCTGCCATTTTGGCTTTACTCGCATCACAGAGATAGAGGCTGCTTGCCATAGAGACAGTTCTCTCCCAGTCCTGCCTGCCTTCTTTCCTCCTCAGGGGAGATAAGGGCCTAGGCAACCTGAGCTTTGAGGAATACTGAACTTAGCTAGCTCAGTGTCCCAAAGGACTCCTGATAAGAAACAGAAGGAGGGAAACTTCCTTCTGTCTGACTTTTCTTAGCTCCGCTTTCTCCCAAAATCCTGGAGGAGCTTCAGCCCCTGCAAATATCTCAGGAGAAACAGCAGAATCTAAGGATCAAACTCCATCCTCACCCCACCAAATCAGTGCTGACGTGGGGCAGAGCTGGGAGCTAACTAACTTAACAAGGCAACTTGCTAAACTAGAAATTTAAAATTAAGTTTGGAGTTTTCCTCAAAAAAGCTCTGCAGCAGGGAGATATGGCTGCGCTCCTGGCCATGGTGGGGCAGAAAAATCTGCAGGGGACTTCAAGAAGCAGAGAATCCCTTTCTACGGATGCCGTCAGGTCTGCTGCCAAGCCAGAAATATTCTTTGTAAAAGATCTGCAGCCCTTAACATACAGCAGAAATGGAAATGCTACACTGTACATGAATTGGATTCAGAATACGTTCCTTTCCTGTTTAAGAAACACACTAAAAGCAGTAAATTCAAATACCAAAGCACAAAGAGGTATGAATCAGGCCAGCAGCTGGCTGATTCTATCCCAGCTCACGAAATGGAAAACACACATCAGAAAAAGACAACAGTGGAGCCATAGTAGCCAGCCAGTTAGCCAATGGTTCAGCTGCCACAGCTGGTGACACAATCCAAAGCCTGGCATCAAACTTTGTGGTTGGCATAGCTCCATAGCTAGGGATGGCAAGGGAATAAAACAGACATATTTTTCACAGGGAACAGAAATACAAATGGCACACACATCAGGCTAAAAACAGATCACCGACTTGATTCAGACCTGAGCGTTTTCTCGCGCAGCAAACCCCAGATCTTACAGATGGACAAGTCCATAGACCCAAATTAAGTACCTGTGAATTATCTGAATTAATACCTTGTCTTAGAACAATCGTCGCTAATTCAAATTAAATGCTATTTAAGCCTCACATGTAAATGACTGCTGCATCTATTTTGATACAAGTCAGCCTAGACCAATCAGCATTGCATTAAATTGGTTGTCTATTTTTAGCTTCTATGATCAGTAAAATGAAACTTAGAGGACCTTTTCCTAGTACAGGTTTAAGAACAAACATAAGTATCAAATAGGGGCGGCAAGGACTTTTTTGGTATTATATCTTTTATTGGAACAGATTCATAGTTGGGATAAAGTTAGACAAGCTTTCAAATGACCTGAAGAGTGCCTTGCATTTGAAAGCCTTATCCCAACTATATAGTTGAGTTGGTCCAATACAGCCTGGCATCCTTGGTTGTATTGTTCAAGTCCAGCTGACCTGAGGGAGAATGCCTTGCATTCAAAAGCTTGCCTAACTTTATCCCCACTATGCAGTTGGTCCAATAAAAAATAATCACCTAAAAAAATCCTTGCCTCCCATGAAATTCCTGGACCTCATGGCTATAAACAACAGGTGTCTATATATGTGCTCCAGGGTGGGAGGGAGAGGACACTTTAATTAGAGCAGCTCTGAGAGCCGCTCTAATTAAACCACCCTCAACATCATGTGTAGTGAACATCTCATGCTTCAAAATGGCAGTGGGGGAGCTTTAGTTAAAATGTCCTCACTGACATTTTGAAGCATGGGGATGCTGAACAGACATGACGCAACAGCTGCTGGAGTATGTTAGCATGCTTCAGCTGACTCGGTTAATTGTGTTAATTGGCACGCATCAGAGCAGATACCTGGCACATGTATAGATGCCTAACATGACTCTAACACAACCGTAAATATCAAGTGTTATTTTCCCTTCAAGATCAGAGTTTACTGCCTTTCTGTAACTGTAAAATATCTTCCAGACAGAGTAACCAAAGGGGCTAAGGACAGACATTACACAAAGTGGTTTGAGTGATCAGAAACTGGATTAAACCTGTAACAGAGCAGATGTTTAGTGCACATAAACCAGTCTGAAAATGGCTCAAACCGGTTTGAGATAAACCTGGTTGAATGTAGTATCAAACTTACCTGATTTGAGTCAAATTGGTTTATAGAATGTCTGTCCCAAACCCCTTCCTGGTTGAAGTTAAATCAGAGTCCTCCAGCACCCCAACATACTTTGCAAACCTAGTCAGGGCTCTGCTCTCTACTCCAGGCCAGCAGGGCTGGCCCCATCCCTCTGCTCCCTGGCTGAAGCTCCAGCAGAGACTGCAGGTACAGCAGCGTATGCCTGGCTTCCTCCTGCCCCACTCCCCCTGCTTAAGCAGGGATTCCTCCCATCCCTCTGCCTTACACAGACACCTCTCGGCATTAGCTAGCATACCACACGCTGGCTATGGTCTGTGCTGTGGGAGACAGGACAGTGTTGGCTTAGCGCATTTTGGAGCTAATCAACAGGTAGCTGGTAATGTCCCTTCATTCCTTCCTTGGAAAAAGTTGTTTAAGAGCCTGAACTAATGAGAGAGGCTTTTGTTTTGTTTGATGGGCTGATAAATGCTAACAACTCCCTGTGTAACTCCCTGCTGTGTAACTAAATGCTGTTATCAACAGCTGGAGGGGCGGAGGGGAACCCCTCCTTAATCAGAGCATCCTGCCGGGGCCTGGCCATGCCTCCCTCAGCTCAGCACTGTGAAACGGAAGGAGGGCTGCTCTAGCACCCACCGGCTTCTAGCCTGAGCCGCTACAAGCATATGCCTGCATTTTCTCAGCCCAGAGGGGATGTCTGTATGATTACAAACAGTTTACCCTAGCCAGGTTAGACTAAACCTGCAAAGATTGAATTAAATCAGGCTCAGGCTTTTTGAATGTCTATCCCTAGCCAGGGTAGTTAGAAGAGATTGATTAGAAAAAGGGAGTTGGGAAAGACTGGTAAAACATCCCCTCCATACCAAAACATACCCAGAAAAACCCACATACCAGTTAAAAGGCCTATATTTCCAGAATGTTTTCCATCTCCTTAATATACAAAGAGTGAAGTACTTAGAAGGGGCATACTAGTGTCAGGTTTGAATTCTGAACATCTTTATGGGAGATCTGTACTTCTGTGAATGCAGGCAGGTTAGCAGTTACAGCTGTATATCAAAGAGAAGAATATATTCCTTAGGTTTAGTTTTCTACTTATAAAAACAGCTCATTCAAGAGTGTTTTGGGAAAAAGGAAACTGGAGGCTGGGAGGAAATGTTTTAAACACTGAGGAAATGTTTTAAACACTGTACATAAAATTTTAAGGGAAATAATGAAAGCAAGGATTTATTCACACTATAAACAACCTGAGGATATTTAAAAAATAAAAATATATAATGACGACAGGCCATCCTGATTAGCTTGATTGGGCATTGGAACAGACTACCTTGGAAGCTTAGTCAAAAGAGATTAAATACTCAACAAAAGATTAAGTGAAATACTACTAGTATTAACATAGGAAAATGTCTAGTATGATCCAGCAGCCTGCTTTGTCAAAGTAAGATATCTCATTATTTGGTTTCACCTATATTGCAATTTTAAGTACTTGATTAAAAACCATTTACACATTTACCCAGCCCCTCAAGAGAAAAACAAAAAGAACAAGAAGTCTGCTTACTCTTCTTGACGTAAGTCATTAACGCTCCGATCTAGTGAGATCATATCACTTGCCACCATATTAAAACCAAACTCTTTAACGCTGGCTTGAACAGATTCTTTGTATTCTGGTCCTAAAACAAATGGCTTCGCTTCCTCTCCAGGGCCACCAGCAACGCCATGAGGTTCAGGTTCTTTGGGTTCAAAATTACCAAGGACTCCAGGTCGTAATACAGGATCATGGTATACAAGTGTCTGAGGCTTAAATGTGAGATACTGCCTCTGCATGATGTTTTGCTGTTCACCACCATGATGTTCTAGTTCATTTTTGGCCTTATTTTTTCTTCGAATAGATTCCAAGTCCACTTCCACACCTTCAACATGAGGCCAGGGTACCACAGGTTTGAACTTCTCATTTCCGGGAGCTAATCCATGGTCTCCTTTGTTTGGCATTGGTTTGTTGACTTCGTCATCCTATACATATATATAAAAAATAGCAGGAAGTCATTGGAAACCCTTATATAAATTTAGAAGTCTAAATATTTTAAATCTAAAAATCTTAAGTAGATAATCAATGCTAATGTATTATGCAGCAACAGAGAGTATTGTTTAGGGCAGTGGTTCTCAACTTGTTTAGATTCAAGGCACCCCTCTAGAAAGGCCAGCTCTTAGCTTTCAGTTTTCACACGATTTTTGGCAACAGAAAAATAATAGAGCAATTTTGTTGCAAAAAACCTCAAAAAGATCACAATAGGCCAGGATGTTTTTGACACTATGGATTTGCATTTGAAATCTCTGGGTTTATCTTGTGAATCATACATGGGTGTTTGCGCACTTATGACACCCTTAAAAGGATCTCAAGACATTGCAGGGTGTCATGGCACCCTGGCTGAGAATCACTGGTTTAGGAATTGCACTTTAAACTCTAGCTTGGATATCACTGGCACTTCCAATGAAATGAATGCTCTCATCTCCTTTAGATACTTTCACAGATCCCACTCTTCATCTCCAAAAATGCACATTTAAAAATGATTTTCATGAAGAATAAGTTTGTTTTTCAACATCAGTCTATAATTCTACACTTGCTCTCTGAAGGCATACACAATTCACACTGGAAATAGTGATTTTCAAAAGTACTAGAATCTAACTCTGCTTCTATTCAAGTCAACAGGAAAAGAGTCAAAGTAAATCTTAATATCATAAGGCAAATAGGAATAACTACAAGCACATGTCATTTTACCCCTAAATTGTTGTTATAACCCAAGTGGCATCTTGCAGACAAATGAGAAATTTTAGACAAGGGTACCTTATACCTATTTTGACTTGTGGTAGAAACTAAGGTTAGATTCAAATAATCCAGTAGGCACTGATGTGGGACTTAGACACCAGTCCCAAGAAACAATTGAGTTTGGCCTGGAGTTAGCACCCTAAAAACTCATTACACACCAAAATCTACAAGGTCCCTGGGTGACCACAATTAGGCATGCACAGAAGCAACCTGGGGCAAACACTTCAACAGCTAACTCTTGTGTAAATTCCAGAGCAATTCAAATTGTCCCCCAGAGGCAGTCCCAAATCCTGCCTAACTCGTACTGACAGCACTAAATTCAGCATAGAACTAGTGGTGGTGGTCAGAGTCTCTGCTGCCAGGGCAGTTCTTGTTCTCCATCTGAAGACTGAAATATAGAAAATATAAACAGATTTGGGGGCATAGACCAGAGATAAATCAATTCCCTCCCACACAGGGAAGTGTCCTAATCAGTAGGCTACAGAGGCAGATTCCCTCTTACTTGCTCTTCTCTGTCCCCATGACTCTCGCTTTTCTGTCTGCCTCATGACCTAGCTTCAAAAGGAATGGGACACGCTTTCACTGACCCCAGTGGTCAGTTTTGTTTCCCAGCTGTGGGCTGAAACGACTCAGCTCAGGTCCAAGATGGGCAGGCACTAGGATCCAGGCTGCTGCCACCGCTTCTCCCTGCTGCCTGAAGGTTCCCTGCTACATGGGATGGATCCAGCCACAGACTGTTGACCCTGGGCATACCCTATTCTTAGTACAGCAGTTCTTAACCTGTGGGTTGCAACTCCAAATGGGGTCGCAACAGCAGGGGTTACGAGATTTCTGCACCCACAGCAGGATGTGGGGCTGCAACAGGGCTGGACCAACTCGCATTTTGTAAGGAGGTAAAAGGCTGCAATGAATATAATCAAAAGCATCGCTAGAAATAAAAAAAATCATGTTTTTTTAATGTGTCAGTGTACAGTCAACAAGTGACAGGTTTATATACTGAAAATTAATAAACAAAAAACTAGTTTATTAACAAGCATGTCAAATATACTTTTGTTTCACTTCTGTTACTTTGTTATATAGATATTATATATATCAAGATATATATAAACATTGTTATAGAAGGAGCCTTTGCATATTCATTTAAGTATAGGAATTAAAAAGCCAGCTAACTTTCATCACATGCCATCTCATAAGTATTGGCAGAACGGTACTATGAAGCCATGACAGAATAACGGCCATAAGAGCATCTCAGCTAAAGAAGAACTCTGGTCCTACAACTAGTTTGGCTTACATTTGGTTGTGTAAGAAACAATATCTGGGCAAAACCTGGCTGTGTTTTTCAGTTTCTATCCTTTTCTTCTGTGCAGTTTATAACTCTGCCAACTCCAGTTCTGTGACCTTTCTTAATAGTCTAAAAATGAGAGACTATATAATCACGTGTTAAATAGCTTCTAAAGTCTTACACCTTGTGATGATTTATACCACAGGTAGCTGGGTACTTGATTGAGGTATTTGTTAAAAGGAGGAGAATTTTTTAAAGTTAAAATGTGCATGCTTATCAAAAAATACAAAACCTGCTAATTTCCTATATGTGTATGGATGTATATCAAGCTAAACAATACTTAAAAAACTTGGTCATTACCCAACTGAGAAACCTTAACATAAGAGCCACTGCTCACCTACAATTCAGAAAGAAAAAATGCATTCACATAGTGTTTCATTTCAAACACCCACGAACATGTCGTGTTCTAAAATGGCTTTTAGAAAAAAAATAAAAATCTTAATGGGTGAATATAGTTTCTTTACAATAACTCCTCTTTCTGGGAAATAAAGCAGCTGTTGCAAGACTAAAAAAAACCTATTTTCATGCTAAGAATATGTCCACACTCGTATTTGGGACAGAGTCCGAGGGTCACCCTCACACGAACTGCCACCTCACTCCTGTACTGCACATTGTGCTTCTTTTCCTTAAGAGAAGCCCTTCTAGATATCAGTCCACATCTCTTTTCTCATTTGGCTCTAACTACAGAATGCAGAGATAGGGAGGCTGGCTAGAAGTCAGGAACATGGAGTCAGGGGATTGCTTCTGTGGCCTGCTATGTTCTGAACATGCTGCCAGCTGGGACAGGCGAGGAGGTCCAGCCATGATACTCCACGCAGTATCCAGGACTGAGCTGACCTGCTGCCAGGGATCAATCTTAGGGGGTCTTCAGTGTAGATGGGCAGCCCTTAGTATTAGTGTAGGCATAGCCTACATTTTCAGTGCTATACACAACAACTAACTAACTGCAGCCCATCAAGGAACTAAGGCTGCATCCATATTAGAGAAATTTATGTTGTTTAATAGATTTGGTTCTTCCTAGATTATTTGTAACATGCTCTACAATGACAGATGAGTACAGCAAATGGCTTGAAACTGCATTTAATTATATCACTTAAATTGAGCCTGTTTCAGCAAGTAAACCTGATCTCCCCTCATTCCTGTTCCAATAGATATGTTAGCATGCTAATGACTGCCAAACTGCAAATAGCCCTTCAGTACTGCTTCACAGGAGGGTGGCTCATTTAGTCTACTTTCTACACTCTTCTGCACAGGAATCAACTTGGTCAGAAGCCACTTAACCATAAAACAAAATTATATGGGCAAATCTGTGCTATTTCTAGCTCTGCATCAAGCTGTTGATAATGCCCTCCCCACCTTCCCACCTCAGAGTGATACTTCAGGAACAAATAGCACCTTATCTACAAGCTGCTCAGTTGGGCAGAAAAAGATGTTACAACTTTAGTCACATTACGTGGCAAGGCAAAGAGCCAAGCAGTGCTGGGTGACAAGAGAAATATGTTGGGTTTTAATTGGATATCTAAGCTGCTTGCTGAGTTTCTCCACTGTAAAAAAACATTGCTGGGACAAATAAGAAGTTTAAAATAGCTTTACCTAGCCAGAAAAAGATCCAGGTCTGGGTAGAAAGATTACGCTTTCTTAAAAGACTTGAAAAAAATACGGAAGCATGCCCCTTGCTAAGCCCAGAACACTGCAGAGCCTGGAAGGATGATCATCTAAGACAGTTGTACTCAACCTTTTGGCTCTGGGAGCAAGATGAGCGATGCCGGGCCCATCTGCAGGCTGGATCAAGCTCTAGAGGCCAGCACCACCTCCTCCTGTCCCCTGCGCACTGGGACTGGGTCCCAGGGCACAGCACCACCCTGTCTGACCCCCTGGATGCCAAGATCAAGTCCGAGGGGCCTGGTGCTACCACCTCCTACCCCATGCACCTGAATTGGATCCTGGGGGCTTGGCACCACCCCCTCCTGGTACTGTGCGCTGGAATTGGGCACTGGATCCAGCACCTAGGGCCTGGACCTTGCCATGGGTCAGAAGATTTGGCAGTAGGAAAAAGCTGTCACTGCTCCCCCACTGCCAAATTTCAATCTGCAACTTGCAAAGTAAAACTGCTAGATGAAAAGAATTAATTGGTTCAATGCCAAAAGTCTACAATCAGGTAATATAGTTAGTGTGTGTGCCAGCAGGCAGCATCTAAAAAGCATTCAGAGGTTCTTGCAATACAGGCAGAAGGCAGGTGCTACATACCATAGTCTAAAGCAAGACTGGATTCTTATCCCATTCTGTGAATTAGCTTTTATAACCCCTATGTACCTCACTATTACTTCTTTTTTCTCTCCCCTACCCAGGTGGCCTCTCCCAGCAGCACCCACACCTTTTTCCTCCCCTTTCCTACCCTTTGTATTCTAATCACAGCTTTCTATTTATAAGCTCTGCTTCCTACAGTCCCTTGATAGCATCTGATGAATAAGCTACTGCTTACAAAAACATATGCAACTCCAATTTAGTCTATAAAGTGCAAATCGACCCCGCCTGCTGCCTGACTTCAGACTAACAAACCTAACTACCTCTCTTCCTTCACAATTCAGAACAGCTTAATTTAGAAAGCATGAAAGATGGTAGAATCATTGTGACTATCTGCAGTGCATTTTATAGAACAGTATGCAAGTCAAGTTACAGATCTACACATACAACGGTCTTTTGTTCCTAGCATTTCAAACAAATAACACAAATTTGGAACATAACTGATGTCCAAGTACTTCAGGCAGCCTACTGCAAAGACAGTTTTATTTTAGACCTAATTTTACATCAGGGTGGGCAAAATACAGCCCGCAGGCAGAATGC